AAACCCCAACCCCTAAATATAAACCTTGAAACTCTATAATTTTTCATAAGTTAACTTAAATCCTAAATTTAAATTCATAATTTAATTTTAAATCATTATTTAAACCCCAAATACTATATACCAAACCCTAAACTGTAAACCTAAACCCTATACCCTAAATCATAAATCTAAACATCAAATCTTATTTTAAAATCTAAAACACTAAACTTTACTTTTAGATCTTATCTTTACCCAATTCCCCTTTCTAAAAGAATATATATTCCATACTCAACTTTACTATACATACATGCAATACTCGAAACATAAAATTTAAACTAAATTATTAAAAAATTAACTACAAATCTTAAATCTAATATTTAAATTTAATATTTTCATACTCTAATCCAAAATCTTAAATCATACCATTCATATTCCAACATTCAAATCTTAGATCATAAATTTAAAATTTACTCTTAATCATAATTTTCTGTTATAACTATAAAATCTAAATTTAAAACTTTTCAAATTTGTATCAAACATACAAGTTTAATATTTAATCAATAGAATACAGTTCAATATAAATATACTTTAACCGTAAAAAAATAAATTACTAAGCATTAATTGTTTTAATCCAAGGATTAGAAATCCATCAGTAATTTTAATCCAAGGGTTACAAATCCATCATTTGGTTATCCTCTACCTTCATTCTTATTGGTCAGTTTTTATATTACAAGGATAACAATTCTTAACCTAAAACACAAATATCTCTCTCACGCCTCCTTCTCACCACCCCCACCCACCATCTCTCTCTCACCACCACCACCCGCCATCTCTCTCTCACCATCACGTTGACCTCCTCACCACCACCACCCGCCATCTCTCTCTCTCACCATCACGTTGACCTCCTCACCACCACCACCCGCCATCTCTCTCTCTCTCTCCACGGATCTTTCTCTCTGTTTTTTGGTAAAGGAAGATGGAGGATGCCCAAGAGGCTTGACGAGACGAGGTGACTGGAGGATGCACAAGAGGCGTTCTTCACCACCATCACTACCGTACGAGGTGACTGGAGGATGCACAAGAGGCGTTCTTCACCACCATCACTACCGTACGAGGTGACTTGAGGATGCACAAGAGGCGTTCTTCACCACCATCACCACCGTCACGCTCATCTCCACAGGTCACCTCTCTGTCTGTTTGTCTCTCTTCTCCTCTCATCTTTCTATCTTCTCCTCTAATCGGTTTTTTTTTTTTACAGATCTGAGATGGAGCAGTGATGAAATAGAAAGGATAAGTAGTGGTGTGACAAGGCGGCAAGTCCGGTTAAGCGTGGTGCGGCTGTGGTGCAAAATCTGGTGGTTGTTGGTGGTTTGTGGACGGTGGCTTAAGCTTTGCCAAGGTGGTGATGGCGGCTTAAGCTTTGCCAAGGTGGTGATGGCGGCTGAAGCTTTGCGAAGGTGGGATGGTGGCTGAAGATTAGGTTTAGGTTTAGGTTTAGTTAATCAATTGGTTTAGTTAGATTTACTTAGTTAATTGGTTTAGTTAAAATTAGAATAATATATTTATGTATTATTGGTTTAATTTTGTAAACCAAAATTTATTGTAAACTAGGGTAAACCCGTCCTACAGACGGGCGGATAAATAAACTAATAATATAAATTTATTTTAACTAAAACTAACATTAACATTCATTAATTATTATAACAATTTTAACTATTTATTTTACCATACATTTTAAAAATATAACTACAGCAGATTGGAGTTAGTAAAGTAAAATTATTTTTGCTCTCAGTTATATATTTTTTTCAGTGAATTAAATTATTTTTATACATTTTTTCTTAAAACTAATGATATACACGATATTAAAGGAATAAATTATTCATTATAACTAAAAATACTTTTAGATAAATAGATAATATGAAACTATCATTGCTATTTATACATATACATGTTTGTTATAGATCGATATAATTCATTATAAATTTAAAATAAATATTACTGATTAATTTATAAAATATTATCCTTATAATAATTCTATCATACATATTTAAAATATTATATATTGACTGTATTAATTATTTCTTTTGGTAATTAGATATTTATATATTTTAATTTTATATATGCATATTTGAATTATATAAATATACTATTATAGTATAGATGTAGTAAACGTAGATGATGAAGACGTTTGCTACTGAATTTTCTATTTATTTTAAAAGTAAATTCTTATTTGAAAATATTGTTAAAATAAATTTATTAGATTTATAACTTGTTAGCATATCTGATGAAAAGGCTGTTTTAATTTGGTTTGGGTTTACTTTTGAAGTATCAAATAAAGAATAAAATAATGTAATGTATCATTTTTATTTTTGTTTAATTTGGAGGTATTAAAATTTTTCTATTTGTTTTGATTATATAACACCAAAATGGCAAAACTTACTCAACCCGATTTGCTTGACATCACCTACTAAAAATCATGTACGTACGCAATTCAATATACTCCTAACATTTTTGAAAGCATTGATATAATTCTAGAACTTATAATTGAACATTTTTGAAGAGAAGTTGCTATCATGTAAACACTATAAGTACATCTTTACTTATATGATAGCAAATAGAAATATTATTAAAAACACATATCATAGCATATCAGGTGTTATCGTTTATAACTTAATGTAAAGAGTTTTTTAACATGAAGGCTCGTGATTCCTGGTGTCTTGGTGCAGATAATCTGCTGAAATTGTCCTCAGATACAGAAGAAGATCCTTAACTATTTTCTCTTTGAACTGTCTTTAACACCTCATTAGTTCTCTAACTACATAGCAAGTAAGTCACTTTTAATAAAGAGTTTATAGAGCAACGTACATTTCATTTCTCGATAAAGGTGTGGATTGAGATGCCTCCACAACGCCCTTTGCAGAGACCTGTAAGCATCAAGAACATAATAGACTTAGTTTCTGTATGATAATGAGTAAAACACTCTTCAAAGAATACAGGCAGAACCTTTTTACTTGATGGTCCCGGAATAAAGTTTTGTGTGTTTCCGTCATAAGACATCAGATGAGAGATTTCCACCTATCATGATTTCAGTTATTCTGCTGCTTCGTCTCCTTCCCAATCATCTGAGAACTTCTCAATCTCCTGTCTCAAATTTTGAGTTCATGGTTTATCAAAAAACATGAAATTATATACAGCAAAGTTAATTAGTTATAAGAAGATAGACAATTAAAATTCATCCTAAATTAATATGGTTCAAGGGGTTGTAGATATAAGATTTAGACAAATATATATAGAAACTATATAATCTGTTCAAAACAAAAACAGAAATCAATGACCTGGTTGTTTAGCATCTCTGGTTTGTTCGTAAAGACTACACACTCTCATATTTCTTAGTGTGGGAGAGATATGGATCATGTGCTACTGTTAGAACATCAGGCCTATCTGCTTGGTTATATAGTAGACATCAAAATCAGATCCTGCATAAATGCAACAGCGAGTGAGGTGAATGTGGAGATACAGTTTAATAATCAACATCTCTCATGCCATGGACTTAACACTCTCTGGCTCTAATTTGTCGTACCTAAACATCTTCAAAGTGACAATTTTCCATGATTCAGCCTCTCTCGTGCACGGAACACTCTAATGTACGTCTTTGACCAATCTTAAAATCCATAGAAAAACACATAGCATATCATTTCATGTGGACTGCAAAAATTCAGATGCAACGAATGTACGCATACGATAAAATTGTAACGAAGCACATAACATAATATTCAAATGATTTATCCAGATGATATGTATAAATCTCAAAGGAAAAGGAAAGCTTGATTTTCAAATCACAGAAGTACCTTAAGAGTCAAGAAAAGCATATCCAAGTCCATAGGCTCGTCGCCTCTTTTCACATTCGTGGCCTCCCAAAATCTGAGCAACGTACATCGACGGTGGCTTTCAAGCCAGGAAGGAGGATAGATGAGTTTTCCAATCTGCTATAAGAGAGTCTTTTCGATTGAAAGAAAGAAAAGGATGGTGTTCAGGGATGACGGCTGACCTTTTTATACACGAAAATTCAACGACTGGAAAAGAGGAGAGATGTATTGAATGAGGGATCGTGCTAGGAGTGGTATAAAAGAGTTAATCTGTTCGTTAATAACAATGAATGATTGAATGCATTTTGTAACGGTTCAATTCCCCTTACCAGACGTATAAAAACCCAAACCAAACAACACAAACGGATCGCTCAGAGATTCTCCAAAAATAGTCGTCTCCCATCACCTTCCAGAAACTCCATGGATGGGCTTTCGAAGCAGGAGCTGAAGAACACCATAAACCCTAGAATCCAAGATGAGAAATGTTGAAGACGAAGAAGCAAAGGTGTCATCAGGTTTGACTGTTCCACATAATAAACTTCACAAGCCCACAATTAAAACAACCCATCAACTTATATTCGTCTAGCCCAAAATTAAATCAAACGAAGATGGGAAAAAATAGGACAGGTGTCAGATTCTAGTCTCTCTATTTGATGACATGGCTTTACCATGAGGGAGTAAACTGTTCTTTATAATAATAGATTAAATTTAATTTATAAATAAATTTATTTTATTTTTAATTATAAAAAAATTTTAGTTTTATTTTCAATTTTGTAATTATAATTTTTTTTAGTTGTCGAACTACCTATAATAGCACGAAATTAGTGCTAATAACTAAACTAATAATATCATACGAGTAATGCTATCGTATCTGTATATTTTATTGCGTTAAACAAATGCTATCGTAGAAGGGGTATCTATGATGGCTGCCGTATACATAGCATTTATGAAAACGCTATCAAACATCTAACATAGCATATAACCCGCGCTAACAATGTCCATATTTCTTGTCGTGATACTAAACTGACAAGTCATAAAAGCAACTCTGTCTGGCTTCCAACAACGCAAAGAGGTCTTTTCCTGAAACAAATACATCATGGCATCCATCTCCTGCAAACCACAATAGGCAGATGTTAGTTTATGAGATAAACATTATCAGAATTGAGATGTAATAGTTAGACTAACAGAGTTCTTGAACCACTGATTAGGCCCCATTACACGAGAAGATAACGCAAGATCGAATCCTTTAACGGTTGACTCTTGTGTAAGGTTACTCATTGTTTTCTGAAAATCCTCTTTTGTCACTGAATCAGACAAATGTACATCCTGAATATATAAAACACAAAGCATGATATTAATAATGACCGTGACATTGTTACACTAGGAATATTACAAATAGCACACAAAACATTTCATCATAAAGTACAAAACATAGTGATTGTTATCTTGTCAACACAGAAAACATCATCCATACATGAATACATACATAACAAAAGCCAAGCATCCTTACAAACCTTCCTACTTCTTGTTTACCTTTGACTGTGACCTTGTCTTAGCAGCATTTGCGGGACCACTAGTGGTAGAAGGAGCTCATGCATGTGTCTGAGTAGAAGCCGTTGCACGACAGTGAGTGAGAGTGGGAGCACCTTTGTGAGAAGCTGTGGGAGCTCCTTTGCGAGAAGCTGCTGGTGCAGGAGACTGAGTTGGAGCCGGAGTTGGTGCAGTAGGTGCAGCAGGTGTAGTGAAAGGGGCAGGTGTAGTGAAAGCCGCAGCAGGTGTAGTGAAAGCCGCAGCTGGTGCATTGAAAGCTGCAGCAGGTGCAGTGAAAGGGGTAGGTGCAGTGAAAGCCGCAGCAGGTGCCTCACCACGACTCATTATTAATGACAGGACCTTCTCCTGAAATCTTGTATTCTTATCCTCGATAGTCTCAACTAGCAGCTCCTCCAATTCAATAAAAGAAGACTTAAACAGACCGTGAATATAAGACTTCATTTCCACCATTATATCTAGATATTTATCTGTCGATCTTTGGCAAAGTAGTCTTTTCTTCCTAGAGTCAGCACCAACATCCTTAAACTCTCTCTTTCCCTTTCTTTTAGCAGACAAATGAGTGCTTTCAACTTCTTCTTCCTCTCCATTCTCACTTGTTTCACCTACCTTTTCTTGCTCTGATACATCTCCCTCAGAACTAGACTCAAATGGTTGTAAAATTTGCTGATAGGCCCATTCATGTTTATTCCAATCATGCTTCTTCCTATACAGCTCAATGATTAGATCGATTTTTTCATCGTTCATCTCACTTGTTCGGACATAGTCATTATGAACAATGAGATCATTGTTCCCAGTGGAGGAGATGAATGGAAACACAACGACCTACACAACATAAGTAAATACAAATCGTATAAGACATAAAAACTAACAACTATGAAATTCAATAAAAAAGAATCATAACTTACATTTAATCCAAAGGCAGACACTATGCTAATAATATCCTCATATGAAACCTTAGCGGATCCTTTCCAGTTCCGGCATCTCATGCTAGTGACGCCTTCACTGAGTTTCCGACCTAGAAGACACCCAATGTCTGGAATAGCCCCCATCAACCAAATCTGAAGTGCAAACGATAATCCATCTATAACATAACTTTTCTGCATCTTCACTTTATTCCTAGCTTGGATGACTGAACTCACCAGCATATCGAAGGAGTGAAGACCCCATGGATACTTCCTCATCTTCTCGAAATCCATCACCAACCTGATGTACTTATGTGGGATCCACACCTTCTCGTCATTTGCCAGAACCATACCAGCAATCACATACATATACACCAACCTCAGCCTATCAACATGAGACAACTTATTACAAGTCTTCAGATGCACATTTAGGATTTGCTGCAAGCATATTTTTTTTTCCATCCTTAGAAATGTGCCCCAAAACCTTTTATCGTTCGTCCAAGACTCATCAGTCTCCAACTCAGGCTCCTCCTTATATTTCAAAACGGGTGATTGCATAAAATTCTTGCATAGAAAATCTCAGTGGCCTCCGAGCAAAACACAACCACAACTCATGACCGTTTAAGGTCAGAAGCTGCTTACAAACGAAGCTGTGAAACACTTTCCCCGAAAAACCAAGGTTGTGTTCCGCAATGGCCACAACCTGACCAAAGACCGGATCACCCAAGACGTCATTGTACTCCGCTTAAATGGAATCCTTCACCACTTCAAGGATACTAGTTCTGCAACTGTTGTTGACCTTATCAACTTGTGTTTCGGTTCCCTCTTTGAACAGGCATTTAAGCAATGTATCGATCGACATCCCTATGAACAATGAAACAAATATAACCAGTATCAATACTCATATAGCAAATGCAAAAGACTTGAGAATCTTTTTAGGTGTCAAAAACAGAAAGACATAATATATAACCATATCAACATAGTCATTATGAGTTCAAGAACATCAAAAGTATGAAAATTTGGTTTCATAGAAACATAAATTCAATATTTACAATGCAAGAATTCGAGATCAATGTCACCAAAACACTAATATCAAAGAGAAACAAATGAGAAGAGGAAGACCGACGGAGTCCTTGCGGGAATGAAGAAGACCAACGACGGCGGAGTGAGACGACGTCGAATCTGATCGCCGGTGAGTTCGAGATGTATTTCTCTCTACAGCTAAGGAAAAGCAGAAGTTAGGGTTCTTCCCTTTAATAAGTATCAGATTTGCGGATTTACCTTTTATGTTATCCTTTTCTTTTCCTTATTTTTTAATTAATTTAATTTTTTATTAAGTAATTAAGGAAAATTGGGTTTATGATAGGGGTTTAATTTGGTTTACACAAAGATTTATGTCATTAGGAAAATTTTCATTTCAATCTATCGTAGAAGGACAATATAATTGTTGATTTGTTCCAAATTAACAATTTTTCCATCAATATAAGCCAGTAAACTCTTAGGTTAGCACGAGTGCCAAGTATAGTACAACAAAACCAAGTGCGCATAGCTGCACTTGTGGTAATAATCCAGGATCTTGTAAAAGTCAATATTAACCCTTACATATTTGTTCACATGTGGGTGTATTGGTAATTACCAGTCATTTCACCAAATCTAGACGCAGAAACTTGGGGAAAACCAGGGGAGACAACGTCTAGTTTTGCACTGTCTAATCCTCTTCTTCTCTATTATATAAACAATCTCATCGACTGTCTTCTTCTTCATCAACAACTTTCACAAAGCAATTCTCCTTTTACAAACAAGAAAACAATTCTCGGATTTTTCCAGTTAATTATAAAAGTGAGAAAACATGAGTTCAAGGAGCAAAGCGTGGTTAGTGGCAGCAACCATCGGAGCCGTGCAGGCCTCGAAAGACCAATTGAGACTATGCAGGTGGAATTACTTGATTTGATCTGTGAATCAACGTATTCGAAACAACGTGAGATCCGCTGTTCAGGCGAATAGGTTCTCTTCTTCGTCCACCGCCGTCGTTGCATCCGGTAAGGATGGTGACAAGGCAAAGCAAGCTGAGGAGTCTCTCAGGACGGTCATGTATTTGAGCTGTTGGGGTCCTAATTGATTAAGACAGATCTAAAATTTATATTTTCTATGCCATCGATTGTATCACATCTATGAGCAGCGCGGTGCAATGTGAAGCCTAAGACCCCTAAATAGACGATATGAGTTTTGATGGGTTGTATCGGGTTTAAGGGTAAAATGATACTTGTGTACAGAATGTAGAGATTAATATACAAGTTTATGTTCATGTTACTGGAAAAAAGCTTCCATGCATGATCCAATTCGTTGAACACATCAAGCTTATTATCGAAACTTGGCTACATGGCTCTTCTTAAAGTTAATTTCTATGAGGAAGTTTCGCATCATGCCAAGCCTTGAATTGCTTACGTAAACTCTAGCATACTCTCACATATCAGTAAGGTGTGTTAAGGCTAATAAGTCTTTGTTTTTTCTTTAACATTAGATGGTGGGTGGTTACGGTTTAGAAAATACAACATACGCGAAAGTATCTTTGTTTAATAGATGAAAATGTTCATTTCAAGTTTTTATGAAATGTTATAACAACTGGTTAAACTAAATAGGGGAAATGTCAAAGAAAATGGTAAAACGTAAAAAAAAAAAAGAGTGAGGCAAGGGAAGAGTGTGTGAGAATCTTCAGAGAGGTTCTACATAAATCCACCTTCTGAAAGTGATGAGGTCATCAACCCACGTCAAGACCAAAACCTTGTACTAAATTAACTCTATATATGAGTTTTGGGGTTTGACGGATTCGAATTGTGTAAGGCAAAAATGCTACTTGTACATAATGCAGAGATAAATATAAAGTTTATGTTTCATGTTACTGGAAAAAGTATTTATGTACATCTCAAGATATAGCTTCCATGATTCATTCTTTTGACACATCAAGCTTGTCCGTTTTGTTTTTGCTATCAAACTTGACTACATGCTGTTCTTGCATTTGATTTCTAAGTGGTTTCGCATCCCAAGCGTTAAATTTGCAGTAGCATGCTCCATAATGTTTGGGAAGTCAAAATAAATTAGTCACACAAAAGGACAGTTAGGATCAGTATGAACTCCAGCAATGAGTTTTCAAGTAAAGATACAGTTAATGACTTCCATGTCACCAGAGTAACGTTTGTGTTTTGAGAATTATAGCATCTGTTTCTTTTTCTCATTATTACTCCACCTTCTTAATTACATCCTCACTTTTGGTAATCTTTGTTATCCCAATGACTCATAACTAGCAAAAAAAAAAGGACATAACGACTATACATTTGGTAGTTATTGGTCATAAATCACTTCTTACGACTAAATAACGACGAAAAACAAATAGTCGTTATGAGCCCGTCGTAATTCACAAAAATCATCGTGAAATAGGCGTAAAGTGTAGGACCAGAACATTTAGTCGTAAAACACTTGTAAAACGCGTAGTCGTAACTTAGAGGTTGATTTGACGTAAAGTTACATCCTAAGATGTGCACGTGCATTGGTCGTAAACTGTGGTCGTAAAATAAAAGCACTTTTTAGATGTAAATGGGTATTTAATGAGACGTAACATTTACGACCAAATAACATCCTCTACAGTTGTAATGTGGTCGTAAATGTTACAACCAGTTTACCTCGAAATGTAAGTAGTCGTAATGTTGACGTAATGTTTACGACCAATTTACTTGAAAATCTTTAATCTGTTACGACCACTTTATGTCTAAGGGTATAATTTTAGATTACTAAATTTTAAAAGTTTAAATTAATAATTTATAATTTTTAAATTTAAATATTTATAAAATCCTTCAAATTCAAAAATATAGAAAAGCATTAACTTAATAAATCCAAAAACATAATATATTCAAATTACAAAAAAAAACTAATTATTAAGATTAATGTTTTCAAAAAACTGGGAGCTATGCTCCTCGGCTGCTTTCTCCGCATTCGCCTGGTCTTCTGGAGTTGGATCGGGGTTGATGGTCAAATGTCTAGATTGCCATATCTTTGCAAGGACTGGATTTGTTTCTACAATAACATCAAACATCTCGTCCATGGCCCTAATGTGGTTCATATTGGTCTGGTTGTTTGTCCGGAGGTCGAAATGACTTGGCTGGCGTTTGTCAAATCGGCCTGGAGCTGAGACTTTGAATGCAGTCTTGCAGCATGTTCAGCTCTAGCCCTCAGGACATCGTTAACCGTACCAATCCCGGTCATCCGTTCCCTCTTCTTTGGAATAACCTTCATTCAGTGAAAAAAAATATAAGTTATGTTAGTACATATATAAACTTATAATCAATAATTAAAATTGAATAATAATTTACCTCCTCAAAAAATTTGTCTTGGTTGTAATTTTTGAATGGAGAGGGTAACATATTTATAGGTTAAGGTTAGTCGTAATGTAGAGGTTAAGTTACGACTACATTAGATCCACAAAAATTTACGATGATCTACAGACCATATTTATTAATTTGGTTGTAAAATAGAGGTTATCTTACAACTACTTTGGGACTCCTTCCTTTACTACGACATAGGGACCAATATATCAATATTGGTCGTAAATTAGAGGTTATGTTACGACTAATTAGGGACTATTATTGTTTATTCTTTTAAACCGAAACCCCAAACCCCAAACCTCAAACCACAAACTTTAAACTTCAAATATATCATTTCAAAACTCTAAATTTTATAATCTCAGAAAACACTTTATTATTATTGAAAAATATAATATAATACAAACTCGAAACTATACGAGTGTACATAATATTATTTCTAGTCATCATCTGAACCCTCATCCGTGTC